AGTCTGTGTGCAGATAGCGTTTGAGATAATGTCTACTAGTATTCTCAACGGCTGCAAAATGTGTCCATGCGCGTCTTTCAAGGATCCATAGTGTTATAACGTTCCTTCTTTCCCTCTGCTCTCTGCCACTGACAACTGTTGTACTGCTGCTTTGCTGCCCTGTGCGAATGCGACTGTCTGACTGCATAGTCACGCGCCCAGCCAACCGAAGAAATACAAAAGACCAGAACTCGGTAGAGCGTATAACTTCAGGATAGGTTAACTCTATTGATAACCGAAACATACTAATTTAGGAGGTCAAAGTCACTCACTTTTCTGCGTCTGGTTTTCAGCCAGTGTGAGTGTTCCGCTCAACAGGTTTATCATATTGACTGAATAGTTCGATTCCTTTGACGCGGGCTGATATTTGCTGGTCGATCAGTTTTCACTTGATTCCCAAATTCAGCTCCGAATACGTCTTTATTGCATAGAACTCCTAGAGCTGTAGGCCTTTGGGGTATCATTCCATCACCTCCTCACACCATACATTCTTTATGCGACGGAGCTGCCGAGGCAGCTACCGACGCATCTTACGAAAATTACTTTTAGGCTCTGAGTTGCCGGCATCCTCTGCGTTCGCAATAAATGTCACATTCTTCTCTGACATCAGCGCGTCAGTGATCACACTGCTGTCATGAAACCAATCAAGCCGCTTATATATGCGCCTGATTGTCTCTTCAGCCGCTACGCTTCCTTGAGGTGGTACCATAACTCACTGGCTGACGCGATGAAGTCATCGTCTTCAAGGTGGTGCGTCGTCATCACATTCCCCAATTTCCTCTTGTTTTCAGCGTAACCCGGGGATTGTACATTAAAACTTGTGTTCAGTTCAACATGTTGCTTCTAAGTACAACATCATGCACACTTCAAGCATGTTACACGTTTCTGACACACATCACAAGCATACATACGGTCGCTACGAGGTATCCTGGACATGTGTCGATGGCAAAGCTACAACAGCAGCTGTCTTTTGGGAGTACAATTATTTGAATGCTTTGGCTAAAAACCCAAGTTGTTCTCCTGTCCACGTGTGAACGCCGTGCCAGTACGCCACTTCAAAGCCAGACCATGAAATACTCTAATTCTGCAGATGTCATGCTGCGTTAGCTGTCACCTAGTGATAAGAGAGCAAAATGGGTCGCATTGTCTGCCTCATACAGCGGCGTAGGTAAGCGAAAACATGCTACCGCCGACTTTTTCCTTCTTTCATCCCTAGTACATTCTCTCCCAGTCCCCATTTTAACTGACACACTACTTTCTCCAATATAGATCGATACAAGAGCGATTGCCTGGCGTAATCGTATGCCACCGCGCAACGAGCTCAAGATAGGATACTAGAACGTGCGCACACTACTCTATCGGAACACGAGTGAGCGTCCTCTGAGACGCATGACATTGGTCGCGATGGAATTCTCTCGCTTTGACATTGACATTGCCGCACTCAGCGAGACTCGGCTCGCTGAGCAACGCAAGCTGCATTAGGCTGGTGCTGGTTGCAAGTTCTACTTGGTCGTCATCATCAACTGCATTATATCAGCCATCCGAACTGATGCTTCGCTGCCATACAACAACGGTGACCTACGGAACGAAGAGCAATACGAGGGAGAGTGGATATGGCGTTAAACTAAAGTGCCCTGAACAATCATTCAGGGTCAATGCACCTACACATCATCAACAACATACCATCGCAAACAGCTGGATATCGTGCAAAGATGAGGCGGCATCGGTGAAACAGCTTCCGGCTTTCACTGCCCCTCGTCATAGTCAGCCGTTATTCTGCAGATAACTCTTCACGAAAGACACTTTAAACATGCAGCCCAACTACGAACTGACAGTAGATGGGCCACTGGTACCAACTGCGAGCCACGTCCTGTAACATCCTGAGCCATGCGCAAGGCGGATCACGTGGACTCCAGTCTTAAAGGCGAGACGGACCGACGGCACCCAGTTTAATCGTCATTGACTTCATTTCCCGTTGCCTAGTTAATTTTTCCCACCTGGGATCTTGCGTCACCCTACACCTATCAAACAAAGTAATGTCCTCCTGGGTCAGCGGTGACCAGGCATACGTAATACGTACGCAAATCAATACAACTTATTCAGTGCTGTCTGTTGTTTCAAAGAACTAGCTTGGTTATCGCCACCTAGTACTCACCTAGGCACTTCATCGTTGCGGACACTCTAGTGCCATCCGACACCAGCAATGCTTTTGGACAGCGACGATCAAAACTTGTAAGCACCTTAGATCCTCTTATCGGAGGGGCTGTCCCACTCCCATATGGTAGGACGGTCCTCACTGTGGCCTCGTAAACACGGCCTTTCAGACACCACACATGTCGCTGGTTCAAGAACGCAGTTCTGGCTTTTACAATACGTGAACTGTATTCAGTGCTTCTGCACCCATCATTGCTGATGCAGTTGCTAAGGTAAGTGAAATGATCAACTACCTAGAGTTCCTCGTTACCAATTGTTAAGAGGACATTGAATGGCTTGTGTTCCTGCAACAACACTTTGCACTTTGAAGGTTCAAATCAAATTCCAAATGATGGGATCACACTACAGAGGGTATTCAATGTTGTTTGGGTCGCCCCAGCATCGTTAAATAGCAAAGCAATACGATCTGCATAACCAGGCTAACCAAGCTTTTCACCACGCAGCATTTCAACACATGCATCTTGAGATTCCGCAAGTGAACGCTCCATGATGGAGTTCACGACGAAGTTGAACAAAAATGGGGAAATTGGGCAATGCTGAGGAACGCCACTTGTTGTCGGTAATTTGCTGTAGATCCTGACGCGGCCAGTAGTGTTTGAGCGTAGAGCACGAAGGATGGTCACATATTTCATTCGAACACCTTTCCGCGCAAGTATTTCGAACAGAATCGATCAATCGACTGAGTTGAACGCGCTCTTGAAGTCGAAGAACACAGCTACTGTCGGTTTGCGGTTTGTCTGGCGCTGCTCTAGTATCTGCCGCAGAGTAAATATATGGTCTATACAACCTCGTTCTTGGCGGAAACCGGCCTGCTCTTTCCTAATCCGAGATTCCCGTTTCACAGTGAGGCGACGAACGAGAATCGATGCCAGTAATTTTGTCACAACCGGCGTTAGGCTAATACCCTGTGGTTAGAACAGTCTGTGCGACTGCCTTTCTTGGATATTACCACTATAAACGATTCGCTCCAATTAGCCGGGATACTCTCTTCCTTTCAGATACCTTCGAAGAGGGAGGCCAGTGCTTCGCAGAAGACATCATCCTCCATCCTTAAATAGTTTAGGTTGGAGGGAACCTGGGCCAACGACACTAAAACGATTGAGGGCTGTGGTAGCGTCTCGGACCTCAGCCTCCGACGGAGGCTCCAAACTACCCGTCCATGGCGCGTCCTGCATCACCTGAGTAGGAAGACATCCGGGAGCAGGGGGGCCAGCTGATCTGATTTTGGAAGTGTTCTGCCTAACGAGTCATACGGCACTCTTTATTGTGTATCAGTGCACCCGCGCTGTCTCTGATTGTCTCATTGACGCCTGATTTTCTGGGACCAGTGGTGCGAATCATCTGGAAGAGCTTGCGGTAATTGCCTACTGCTCCTGCCTCCTCCATTTCTTGAGCCCGACTGGTCCACCAGGCTCCCTTGTCAGCACGTAGGCTCCGCTTTAGTTCACGCCTTATAGTCCGTCCGGTCACATTGCGTCCAGAGCCAGTCGGGAGGTTTCTTCTAAATTCCAACTGGTTCGCTGACCTCTCGGATATCCAGTGAATGGTGCGGTGACGATTGATAGTGCCACAAACAGATGCTCCAGCGACCTGCATAGCAGCCGTGATCCTATTCCACTGAAGCTCAGTGTCATTAGAACAAAACAGTTCGGTACGCAGTGTGTCTTGATAGGCTTGTCTGACCGAGCGCTGGGACAATTTCTCAGTCGCCAATCGGGGGAGACGCTTGGTGCACCTCCTGGTAAAGTTCATGGACAAACGACAGCCTATCAAGGCATGATCAGAGTCGACGCAGGTATTCCGGTACGAACGGCAATCCCAGATGGAACAACGCCAGCTGTAACTTAGAGCAATGTGGTCAATTTGGGTCCATCGCTGGCCAGCTACAGGTGGACCCCAAGTGGACTTCGGTGCCCACTGTGTCTAAAAGCAGTGCTGGTAAGAAACAACTGGTGCTCCGCACACAGTTGCAGCAGACGCTCACCGTTATCAGTTCGTTCGGAGTTAAGCCCATAATTACCACCGAGCTGAGCTTCTGAAGAGCTCAGACGCCCTACTTGTGCGTTCATATCCCCCGCAAACACTATAATATCTGAACTAGTAGCACTGCGTATTAGTGCGTTCAGTTCGTGATAGAATGTGTCCTTGACAGCATTAGAACTGCAGTCGGTAGGAGCATAAACGGAAATCACGAACAAACAGCGTTTTGTAGTACTTCGTGAATCAACCTTAGCTGATGTCGTCAAACGGACTGCAAATAAACGGCTCTTCACCGGAATTTAATCAACCAACGATGGCTCGGCGTTGGAGCTTAGAATGTTACCTGCACCAGCTTGACCCGTGAGTGCTGCATCGGCGTCTCTGCTCCCGATCTGGCGATATTTAAAAAACGTCTTGACGATGCATTGTCTCACTTACATTTCATTGTATGACTTGTTAGCCAGGGGCTACAAAACGCAATCAAACGGTTTCTTGCCAAGCGCCCAACCATTGGATTTATGGATTTATACGTTTAATATGCGAACATCTCCGCTATTTCACATAAGTCCATGGTGAGTCCACCACAACGCTTTTCACTTTATTATGCAATTTATTTTAGCAATAACTTCCATCCCACGGGACTTGTTAAGCGATGCTTTTTTACCCGTAATAAACCATTGTCCATTGACCATTGTCATTTTGAATCCTAATCCAAACGCAATCTACATTCACTTATTGCAGTCCGTTTTTATTTCTTCGCATTTCAGAAGTTGACGACGAACTGTCTGCCAACTTTGCGTCTCAGACTAATACCAACCTTAGTTGTGTCGACGAGCATGCATCACAACCTACAGAAAGTAGTCTGTGCGTTCCTTTTGTGCAAATCACTTCTCCGCATATGAGTACGAGTCCAGAAGGCTCCTCTAGTCCTCCTTATTCGGAAGATACCTCATGCACTACAAACCTTCGGGGAAGACCTGCGACGCGATCCTCTCCTCGTGCACAGAAGCGGTCGAAGCGCGTAAGTCCATCTGTTCAGCTGTTACGCATTAAATGTGTTAAGTGGCGTAGTACGCGGTCACCCACCTAAGCATCTTACCGTTTGGTTCTTTTCCCAATCGGATAAGGGCTAACTTGTACCGATTCACTTAGTTTACACGAACGACACTGTCCCCACGAGTTCTATCCCCGAAGCGAACGGCACGGTCTGTCAGAACATTGTGCTACTCGCGCTCGAATCGAACGCTTACCACTGACACCCAAACCGAAAAGAGTGAAAATGAACCTTTGGTGTAGAGTGCTTTTATGGCCTGACAATAAGCGATCTCATTGTTGCATTGTTTCGATTTTATGGCGAGGTTGGCGACGTATGGGCAATTCCAAATGGCACACCCTGTTCAGTCAAATGCGTGTAAGGAAACATGGGCATGGAATCGCACGATGCACCACAGCAGATAATTGGCTTTTTGTCATGAGGTGCTTAACAGAAGCACATTTTCCCGAATTCAGATGAACGGCGTTGGACACCTGCTTATTGCCTTCTGTTTATATCCCTAAACGTGGTGTTTTGCTTTCTCATCTCACTGGATATCATGACGACGTCATGCACCCCTGTTTAACCACAGATCCGCGCCCCTTTGGCATCTTGCATTGCATGCGTAGACATTGCTGTTGTTACGTTTACCCCAGCAACCTGTTCATCTTGTCGTCATTCCACAGTGTTACTGTGGCTTGAATTATCCTCGGTGGCAACTGATATTTCATTCCGAGCGAAAGCATGAGAGCGAACTGAGCAGATGGTAGATTATTATCGCTTTCTTCGCATTCCGGGTCGGTTCATATTCTCTCACTGGCGTGCACCATCCAAACCTATTGGTGGCAGGGAGTACTATACACGTTAGCTAGAGGTGGGAAACACCTTATCTACTGTGCCGCAATACCTAAAAGAAAAAAAGGAATAAAATGCAGCAGATACAAGTCAGCTGAGCTACCGGTAACGGGTGGGCATCGTTCCGGTAGGCGACCAGCCGGCTACTGTGCATCAAAGAAATACTATGTGAAATTATATAAAGCTAAATAATGAGATCGTGGTTGGAGGGGGAGGCTAAGAGGGATGGGGTGGGACAAAGAAACTCACAGCACGAGCGCCACTGAGGTCGGCTGCTAGCCATATCAGCAAGTGTATCCAGCCAAACGTGTTCATCGTCTTTCGGACCTTAACCAGGGAGCCGAGACGCTCCAAGTGAGGCAAGCTTGGAAGTGAGGGCCTTCATTCCTCTCGACAAAGTCATCACTTGGCCACCCCTCCTCTTCTTCCATCCACATCCCCGGTGAGTAAACAACGCACTTCGCGGAAGTCGGTGGGCTGGCATGGGTAACACGTGGCCGAACCATCAGAGTCTGGTGCGTGAAATTACGGTGCTGAGCGGTTCATTTCCTTTTCCTGTGCTGTAAACAAGGCATCGAACACGCTCGTTGCTAACTCGGTGTTCCCACCAGATGTGAGATAAACTGCGAAGGCACCGGTGGTCGAACGTAACTAGCCTCTTTATGTCAGCTGATCTAAGGGGCCAAGTTTCACGACCGTATAGTAGTGTCGAAAGTACCGCTGCATTGTACACTCTACCCTTCACCTCGAGAGTGATGTCGCGCCGGCTCCACAAGTGTCGAAGATTAGCAAAGGCGCCTCCAGCTTTTGCTGTACGGTTCGTGATCTCATCTTCAATCCCAAGGGCGCTGATACAACTTCCCAGGTAGTTGCATTTTTGAGCGACTTCTAGCTGACCCCCCCCCCCCAAGGGTCAGCGAAGAAGGCGGTCCAGGCCAATCTTGGAGGAACGCTTTGCACATCGTTGGTGCAAAGCAAGGCCCGAAGCGGTTGACAGCCAGTGCTAATCTGTCCAGTGCCGCTTGGCACGTCTGGGAGTTGTCACAGATTAGGGCAATATCATCAGCATACTCTAAGTCAAGAAGTCGTTCTGTGAGCAGATCCACACTTTCTAAGTCATGTCCTGTGAACGAGATTTCCATGACTTCGTCAATAACGAAGTTGAAGAGGAAAGGTGACAGCGGGCATCCTTGTCTCACACCGCTGAAGATATTAAAGGTCGAAGACAGCTTGCCGTAAGCCCTCACTCTGCCCGAGCTACGAGCATATAATGCTCGGATAATATTCACATATTTCTCAGGTACACCTTCCCTGAGTAAACTGTCCCAAAGTGCACATCTGTCCACCGAATCGAATGCACCTTTGATATCGAGGAACACGACAACGGTGGGCCGCCAATATATGTGACTGTGCTCCAACGACTGACGCAAAGTGAAGATGTGGTTAATGCAGCCACGACCTGGACGAAACCCGACTTGCTCTTCACGAATCTACCTTTCACGAGTTGCAGTCATTCTGTGAAGGATGACAGAGGCAAGCAATTTGTAGGCGATGGATTTCAGACTGATTCCTCTATGGTTGCCGCATTCTGATCCTGAGTCTTCCTCGAAGATTGGGACTATAACGGAGCGGCTCCAGTCAGTTGGGACAGTTCCCTGCTCCCACAGTTTTACTAGTAACTGGTAGTAGTCATCCACAAGAGCATGTTCCCCGAATCCGTAGAGTGCTGGAGGTTGACCATCTTGTCCCGCGGCTTTATTTAACTTCAACAGTTCGATCTCACGTTCGGCTTCTGAGCGAGAGGGTGGATCCAAAGGGACAGCCCAGGGAGCGGGGCTATTAGTGGCCGGCGAGAAATCTAGCAATTCCAACCGATTAAATTGCCTTTTAAAGTGCTCAACCCAACGCTCCAAGCGTTTTGGCAAGTTGTGCATAGGCCATCCACTGTCGTCACGAATATTTTCACTAACACCAGGCCTTCTGCTGCCCATTTCCCGTCTCAGACGGAATAACTTACGGTGGTTACCAAGGGCAGCGGCCACTTCCATCTCTGACGCACGGTGAGACCACTAAGATTCGCGGTCTCTGTTCAGGCTAGCGCGGAGTTTTGCCCGGAGCTCTTTGCGAGTTTCATTGTGCTCGCTTCCAGCCGGAATATGCCGGTGGGCATGGATAAGTTCCAGAGACTGTGAAGAGACCCAATGTTCATGTTGGCGATTAGACATACCACATGAGGATTTGCCTGCTGCTAGTAAGGCTTGTTGCATATGAGACCAGTGAGCTTCAATTGCATCCGGTGAGCGCTTACTTAACTCGCATGTCAGCGTACTTTGATAGGCATTCAGAACAGCTGGTTTTGCCAGTTGGCTGGTGTCAACACGCTCAAAATGTGATTTTGGGCGTCCACCAAAACGTATTTGCAGGTCAGCACATGGTGTCTAAAACTGTACTCCAAATCGAGCATCATTTCTGGACGCGGCCTCTCCATCGGTATCTTCTCGCAATGTGGTCGATTTGCGTCCAAGGCAGGTTCGAGGCTGTTGGGCGCCAGGTCACCCTCCGGCGAGTGCTGTGTCGGAAATTTGCTCGCAAGAAATAAACGAGCATCTTCACTCAAATGTAGCAACCGCTCACCGTTATCATTACGGGAGCCTACACCATGTTGGCCGCCCAGATGCAGTTCATCAGTGGATAATTTTCGAGTTTGAGCGTTCAGATCCCTAGCCAGCACGACGGTGTCTGAGCTTTTTCTGTGGCGAAGGAGCTTGTTCAATTTGCTATAGACGTCTTCTTTTACCGAATCGTCACTATAGTTTGTGGGCGCGTAGGCAGCGATGACGAATAGACATCTGTTAGTCCCGCGCGACTTCGAAGCTTTGAATGCGCCAGCCAATCGGACCACACACAACCGGCTACTGATTAGACTCCAGTCAACCATAGCAGCTTCAGCGCGGGGACTCAGGGCAATACCTACACCGGCTTGGCCGGTGTTCGAAGCTGCATGGTCACCGGATAGACGCAATGAGAAAGTGCTGCTGGTGTCATCTGAAGGGGATCGCAGAGTGAGCACAGAGCTCGAGTCTTTCAGGCGAGGCTCTGATGAGCAGCAGATATCCATCGAGAGGGTCTCTAATGTTCGCGCAAGTGCTGCCTATTGATCGATCTGAAGCAATGTGCGTACATTGAGGCATGCCAATCTGAAGGAAGATCGAGGGCTCCAAATGGAAATCGATGAACTGGGCTTGACCGCTTGGTTGGACATGGACTTGTCGACAGGGCAGGAAGGGCGCTCCGCCTTCATGTGTGAGTTGAAAGTATGATGTAACGGCTTAACAAAGCGAAGCGGGGGAGGGCCAAGAATTGTGGGATTTGGAAACTGGGGGACAAAGTGTAGCTGGAATGGGACGATAAGGGTGAAAAAGCGTAAGAGGGGGAATAAGAAGGCGGGAAGGCTTGAGCAGTAGCATCCAAACCCCTATCCACCCTGCCCGATGCAGCAGATAGGGCACCGTTGATTATCCTCTGCGGTGGCCAGAACATCAGAAATTTGTTTGAAGAGAAATTTAAAACAGTTAGTCCCGTTCAGTAGTTTGAACAACGAAATGAGAAGACGAATATTTGCAGATGCTAGCATTTCGTATTATCTCGTCAGTACCAATACAATAACAAGGAAATCTTTTATATGTCTAACAGGGCACAGTCAAACCAATCAAATTAATTGTTGTGGTCATCGTTGTCAGATTAGGTCCACGGCAACCGCAGGTTGACAACTAATTGCTTTTGGACACACAAAGCTGGTCTAATTCGGCTTATCGCGACGGCCTCGGCAAATCGTAGAAGGCGTGCATTAGTATGACGTAACAAGATCCGGAAAGCTGATAAGGGATTGACCTGGTGACGAGTCGCCAAGATGTGCCTGCCTATGGAGGACGCTGGTGGCTTACGCGAACACGTATCATCGGAGGTGGATTGGGTAACTTCGCGCTGAACCCAGTTTGGTAGGTGTTCCTTCACTCAGGAATCTAAAACCCGTTCGGTCCTGCCGATGTAACTGATACCGCAGTCACACACGAATTGGTAGACACAATGGGATTTGGCGCCGACGGGTTCATGTTCCTTTACTGAAGGTAACG